TCTTAAGGCCGTCGCACCACTTCGGGTCCTTCCAACCTCTTTCCAGAAGAGTTTGGAGTTCTCCTTAAAGTTGTGCGACAACCTTTCGTCCGCTTCCATTCTACACCTTTCACGCACTTCCTCAATCAGTGCTTTCGTGTGAACTTTCTGCAGCCTATATCTTTCTTTCATCTTCTCTCTCATATCGTTACCATTACTAGAGGCCAAGTAGTCTAACCATGCTTTCTTCTTCTTCTTTACAGCTTCTTTCACTTCATCATTCCACCATGCATCTCTTCTTTTACTACTGCCTCTTTTTATTGTTCCACACACTTCTTTCGCTGCATTTACCATTCCATGCCTAAGGTTCTGCCAAGTTCTTTCTACACATTCTTTTCTGCCATCGATGGTGTCAAGCTTTTCGGCTACCCTCGCATGATATTTGTCCCTAGTATCCGCTTCCTGAAGCTTCCAGCTTCGGATGCGACAGACCGACTGTGGTTCTGTTACTGCCGTCCGGTAGCGCCAACCCGCGAACAGAACCCTAAATCTAGTAATCACTAGATAGTGATCTGTTCCCAGGTCAGCACCCCTGAACACTCGCGTATCCATCACCTGTTTTCGCAGTCGGTCATCCACCAGGAACATTTTATTTGCAATGGCTAAAGTGTGTTGCGTTCCCGCACGGGACCGGTAATGTATGTTTGCCAGATATTTATATTTTAAAGTTTTGTTAAAAAACTATTAAAAAAATTGTGGCGGAGGATCTATCATCATCGCCTCGCTCGGCGGGCAGATTAAGAATCGCTGTTTTAGAAGTCTGCCGTCTGATGTTTTAAGGCTGCTCTTCGTCGTTGTTCTGAATATTGTGGATCGCACTGAAAATCAGTGCATGCGGAGGCCGGGCTACTTCGTGGCTTATGTACAAAATTATTATTCTCATTAGGTTTAAAATACAGCCATAAGTTAAACTATATTATTTTTTTCATATTAGACTTTATCATAAATTATTTTTAAGTCTGTGCTTATGTCATAGGTCAAACCACGAAATCCTATCCCTCCTATCAGAGACTTAAGTACTTTGGAGCCTTTCCCCTATACGCCTCTTATGAGTACTGTATGTTGATGAATTCTCTTACGTGTAAACAATCACTTCATAAATTTAATTAATGAGTACCTAATTAAAATACAATAAAATGCAAATAAGTAGAATATAATTAGTTAAAATATAAATACTTAATATCTACTCCATAATAAAGAATAAATAGTAAATATATAACCGGGTACTTACGAGTATATATATACAAAATCTTTAAATTAAAAAAAATAACACGGTACATATTAAAATAAATATATTACACAATATCACTTATAAAGTGAAAAAAGAGAAAAACAAAAGTTGGATAAATCAGGTGGTATTATTTATCAAAGTTAGTTACTTCAAAGGCCTTAAGGTTTACAAGAAATCGTTTGCCATAGATGCAGTGCACAGTTTAGCGTATGATTAGATCACTTTACTAAATCCCTTATTGAGAGTTTATGAACTTGTAATGATATTGCTTCACAAACAAGCCATCTACTATATTGGTATTTCGTTAACTTGTTTTATATATAAATGTATGTTTTTTTTTTTTATAGGAGAGGGGGCAAACGAGCATGCGGCTCACCTGATGGTAATTGACTACCGCCGCCCATGAACAACTGCATTACCAGGGGAATCGCAGATGCGTTGCCGGCCTTTTAAAAAGGAGTACGCTCTTTTCTTGAAGGTCCCTAAGTCGTATCGGACCGGAAAAATCGCTGATGGTAATCGATTCCACAAGGAGGTCGTGCGAGGAAGAAAACATCTTCTAAATCGCACAGTGGTGGACCGCCAATCATCCAGATTGTGTGGATGGTATCGGGAGTTCTGCCGCGATGTGCGTTCGTGAAATTTGGCGGCTGGGATTAATCCGAACAATTCCTCAGAGCACTCCCCATGGTAGATGCGAAAGAAAATGCAAAGGGATGCAACATCTCTTCGCAGTGCCAATGAATCGAGCCGATCGGAAAGGGCTCGGTCGTCGACAATTCGAGCCGCTCTGCGTTGGATGCGGTCAAGTGGAAGGAGCTGGCACTGGGGAGCCCCTGCCCAGAGATGGGAACAGTATTCCATGTGAGGCCGAACTTGCGCCTTGTAAAGTAGCAGGCGGTGTGCCGGCATGAAATACTGTCCCGCTCTGCTGAGCACGCCAAGCTTTTTAGAGGCCAATTTGGCCTTCCCTTCCAAGTGACCACGAAACTGCACGTCACTCGATATGTCGACTCCGAGGATACCGATACTGGCTGAGGCAAGAAGGGGAGTGCCTTGAAACTGAGGAGATACGACAAAGGGGTTCTTTTTACATCGTTTATGTCATCAGTATGCCAAGCATACTTGCTAGTTGTACATTCTTGTTTAAGGTAGTTGGACAATTTGTCTTAAGTAAAACGGTACAAACAAAACACACTCGTCGACAACTTTGAGCGTGGTACTCCCAACAACCACTAGCAGCACAGGTAATATGGACGTTACACATGACGTTGGTTTAAAACATAAAATATACCATCCGAAAAAGCTTAAGGTCGCTCAGCGGGCTATGAAAGGGATATGCTAGAAGTTTCTGTCTGTGATAGATTTTAAAACGAAGATATTCGCTGTAGAACGAAAGTAACCGATGTAGAATAACGGATCAGTAAGCTAAACTGGTAATAGGCCGGCTACACAATTCGCACAAAGGAAAACCGATGGGGAAGAAAGGTTCTCGAGTGGCAGCGCCGTACTGATTAATGAAGTGTGGGATGGCTCCGCTCTAGATGGAGTGACAAACTGTGAAGATATACAGAAAGCCGATGGATGCAGGGGCTTGGTACTGAGCTTTATTGTATTCCTAGGTGGAGAGGCCTACGTTCAGCAGTAGACTCGTGGAGGGCTGTGGCAAACGACGACGATAAGTCCGTGTAAAACAATCCTGTTGTGTATCCTATTGTACCTACCCTGATGGACCAATGGGTAGAAAGGATTCCTACCACCTAGTAAGCTAACCAATATAGAATATTTCAATTACAAAAATTAAAATAATATCTTTGCTTGTACTTACATTTACTGTATATGTAGTACATAACCTACAACCCACTACTGCAGTTGTAGTATGGCTGCAGCGCGAATGAGTCGACTAGACTGGGGCTGGATCACGCCCTTACATAACACCAGCCTAAAATTGCAACATAATCCTAATATGCTTTTTATAGAGGGATGACAAATGAGCAAACAGTCCAGCTGATGGTAAGTGGGTGCTATGGCCCATAAATATATATCATGCAGATGCGTTGTCACCACTGAGGAATAAAGTGGAATGTCTCATTTCTAGTAAAAAGGGTCTCTGGTTGTGTACACTCACCAAACTAAACCAATCCGTGAGAGCGTGGTCTGACTCTTCCACGTGTTTTGTATGCCTTTTGTAGAATTGTGCACTCGTTTATCACCCTCACTTTTTTAAATATAGCCTGGAACAGTACAAATATGCTATTTTACAGGCTTGTGGCGGCACTGTCGTCGTGCCACAAGCGAAACACATCGAAGCCTAAATCGCGTTTACAAAGTTCCGAAGTTAAAGCAGCATATAAAGAATAGCTCCGAACTACCATTCGGAGCGTTGGCCGCTCCCCGGGCAGAACACCTTGCCCGGCGGGAGATCTCCCCTTTTCCTTCCATCAGCCACAGTGGTGACCACCCGACTTGATATGAACACGCAACCAACAACCTTCGGAAACTACAACTTCCAAAAACCTTCGTCATCATCCTCAAGTACCCCATTCATTCGCTCCCGAGCAGATATAGTCTGCAGTCTTCACATTCTGCAAGCCATCTAGCTTTACAAAGTTTCATTGCAGTACTGGAATAATAATGCCTCCTGTTCCTTCAAGCTACTCTCTGCGCTACAGTGTTCAGCACGGCTTTGAGTCTTACCGCTCACCTCTTCTTCACGGCACTCTCGTAGATTACTTGCCTTCTTCTCGACTCACCGTAGACTTACAAGGCAATTCCCTGGCACTTGCAAATTCGTCGACATCTAGACTGCACTATCGACCTCCGGTCTGAGCAGGGGGGTGATGTGGCGGCTCTGTCGTCGCGCCACAAGCGAAACACATCGAAGCCTAAATCGTGCTTACAAAGTTCCGAAGTTAAAGCAGTATATATAGAATAGCTCCGAACTACCAATCGGAGCGGTGGCCGCTCGCCGGGCAGAACTTTCAGGAGATTTTCCCTTTTCCTTCCACCCGCCACAGGCTTCTATTCGAAAAACAATTATTTGTAACTCGTAATGTACGAATTTAAAGTATCTCACAACTAAGCTAACCAGTCGTAGCCATCTTCGACTTCATCTTCGTCGCTATCACGTATACTTACTACTTTAAGCTTTAAAAATAATTAAAAGATTAGAAATAAAAAGAGCAACACTGTTGATCGTGTGTTCAGGTTTTGTTGATTGTAGATCAGGATGCGTTATGCGTTATTCTAATAAGTAAATAATGATAGTATTAACGTACCTTTATAGTTAAAGTCTATAAGCATTTAATCATGATTACATGCATAATGAATACATTGAACTCAAGCAGTTTAGAACTTACAAGAACCGAGCTATTATAATGGATATTCTTGCGCTGCCATAAAATCGCTTATTATCATCGAAAACTGAATTCTGAATTAAAGTTATTAATCACAAAATTGGATTAGATATATGACGAACTCTAAAGTTAAGCACTTTGAGCCTGCTTGTACTTAACTTAAATTAAGTATCTCCATAAATTTTACTTCAACTTAACATCGGGCAATTCTCTACACCTGAGTCCTGCTGCTGACTTTACCATCAAACACTGTTATTGTTGTAATAATTTGGATATTCTAAAAAACTCGAATTTGTCTTCAAAAAAAAAGCGGAATTATTCATATTATTCTTCTTTCATTTTAAGTGTGTAACACGATAGCACGGTAAACATTTTTATTTACCGACTAGCTGTTTCCCGCGACTTCGCTCGCGTATTAGGATTTTTATGTTTTTGCGCGAAACCCTAATTATTTTTTTAAAATAAAAGTAGCTTAAGTTACTCCTTAGTTAGTAGCTTAAGCTATCTAGTAGTGAAAGTCCCGTCAATATTGATCCATCCGTTTCGAAGATTAGCCGGAACAAACAGACAGACAGACATACAGTCAGACAAAAATTTAAAAATTGTATTTTAGTTATAAGTACCGTATATACTTTCATATGCATTTAGTAAAAAATTGTAATTTTGACATTACAAACAGACACTTCAATTTTATTTATTTGTATAGATAGAGATAGATTCACATTCATTTGTTTTAAGTCCGGCGATTTGCTCACGCCTTAAACATTTCGTATTACGCCAATAAAACGAGTTCGATTACGCCGGCGTTAGTGAAATTGTTAATTGCAACTTTAAATGCTGGTTTACCACAAACTCAGCGAAAAGGCTAAGGAATCAAAAATATCGAGGACATGTTTGTAAAGTCCATAAACATCCATTGGGGTACCGTGTCAGATTCTTCACCGCTAACATCTCACAGAAATCAGAAGAGAAATCACTATATATGAATCGCGGCATTGAATGATATCCTATCACCATTTTTAGATTAATGAAAATAAGTGATGGTATTTGTGAATTTTCTAGCAAGTTGAAAGAGGTTTATCACATAGTTGATGCTTGTATGTTTCTTTAGAAAATGATTTTTAAAACATCCTAAGAACGTAAGCTTTCTTTAGCACTTACTTTATACCTAATAACTTTGATGCGGCAAAATGTTTTATTAGACTTGCTATAAATCTCTGCAAGTAGCTTTTGTAATGAGCAGGTATTTTTTTATAAAGTAATCAATCAAGCGTGTATGCGTAGATATATGGATGTAAAAGAGGCGAGAGAGGTGTGTCAGGATCGCGCCAAATGGAAGTCCGTAGTCTCTGCCTGAAATTTTAAACTACAATCATACTTTCATACAATCAGTGTAAATGATACGTATCATAACTATTTTAGAACAAAATTATATACAAACCCCAAGAGTAACCCAAAAACCCAAAGAGCAGAGTGATTGCCAGGTAAAATGACAAGCAAGAGTAGGCATGAAAACCACGGCATACAACGTAAGTTAATAATAATAATAATAATAATAAATATTTATTTCATTTCGAATTACACGTGTTGACATACAGGAATCAGAATGATTACAATTAATAAAGTAACAATAAGTCTAACAAAAATAACATCATCATCATCATCATCATTACAGCCCTTCACAAGTCCACTGCTGAACATAGGCCTCCCCCAAAGAATGCCACAAAACACGGTCCTGAGCCACCTGCATCCATCGACTTCCTGCATGTCTTACCAGGTCGTCACTCCATCTCGTGGGGGGACGCCCTACACTTCGCCTACCGGTACGAGGCTGCCACTCGAGAACCTTTCTTCCCCATCGGTTGTCGGTTCTTCGAGCTATATGGCCGGCCCACTGCCACTTCAGCTTACTAATCCGTTGGGCTATGTCGGTCACTCTGGTTCTACTGCGTATATCCTCATTCCTAAGTTTATCACGCAGAGAAACTCCGAGCATAGCCCTCTCCATAGCTCGCTGAGCGACCTTGAGCTTCCTCATACGGCCAGCAGTGAAGGACCACGTCTCAGTTCCGTAAGTCATCACTGGCAACACGCACTGGTTGTACAATTTCGTTTTAAGGTTTTGAGGTATGTCTGACGAGAAGATGTGTCGTAGCTTCCCGAACGCTGCCCAGCCGAGTTGAATCCGTCGATTGACCTCTCGGTCGAAGTTGGACTTACCCAGTCGGACTATTTGTCCCAGGTAAACATACTCGTACTGTAGACTTGACAGCATACAGGCATCTGAACAGACAGATCTCCAAATGCATGCGGCGGGACTTACGCAACTTCAATACAGCTCGTATTGAAGAAACGATCGAGCGGAACCAAGGCTCCAAAGTCTTTGCCAGAGATCTGTCTGCCAGAAAGAGCCAACTGTCAAAGCTGAAGACAGAATGTGGCAGCATCGTTTCCGGGACACCTGAGATTTTGAGTGAGATTGAGAGGTTCTATGGGCAGCTGTACACATCATCGTTGGAGCCACACGCAAGTGTGATTAACGATCCAAGAGCGAGTCTCATCCGACACTATTCCGAAGATATCCCGGATGTCAGTCTGAGCGAGATTAGGATGGCTCTCCAGCACCTTAAAAACGGTAAGGCCCCAGGCGAGGATGGAATTACAGCGGAGCTTCTGAAAGCGGGTGGAAGACCGGTACTTGAAGTCCTTCAGAAGCTCTTTAATTCCGTCCTCCATGGTGGCATTACACCGGAGACGTGGAGCAGAAGTGCGGTGGTCTTGTTCTTCAAGAAAGGTGACAACGCTCTCTTGAAGAACTACAGACCGATTTCCCTTCTGAGCCGCGTCTACGTGCTGTTTTCGAGAGTCATTACGAATCGTCTCGCGCGCAGACTTGACGACTTCCAGCCTCCCGAACAAGCCGGTTTCCGAAAGGGCTTTAGCACCATAGACCACATACATACCCTTCGGCAAGTTGTACAGAAGTCTGAAGAGTACAATTTGCCACTATGTCTGGCGTATGTGGACTATGAGAAAGCCTTTGATTCCGTCGAAATTTGGGCGGTGCTGCAGTCCCTTCAGCGGTGCCAAGTTGACTGTCGGTATATCGAAGTGTTGAAGTGCTTGTACAGTAGGGCTACGATGGCTATCCGAGTACAGAACCAGAGTACGAAACCTATCCAATTGCAGAGAGGTGTAAGACAGGGTGACGTCATATCCCCGAAACTCTTCACCGCTGCATTGGAAGATGTTTTCAAGCTTCTGGACTGGAAAGGATACGGTATCAACATCAATGGCGAGTACATCACTCACCTACGATTTGCCGACGATATAGTCCTTATGGCAGAATCGCTGGAGGACCTAAGCACTATGCTCAATGACCTCAATAGTGTTTCCCAACGGATAGGTCTTAAGATGAACATGGACAAAACAAAGATCATGTTTAATGTCCATGTCACACCTATGCCGGTAGTTGTTGGGAGCACTAAGCTCGAAAAATAACATGCTATGATAAAATTAAAACTATGTGTAGCTAAATAATGTAGAATCTACAAAAGAAGATAGAAAATTCATATTTATAATATTAGCTACCTGCCTGAACTAGGTTGAGTACCTGTGTTTCAGATATCACTTATACAAACGGTTTAATAATGTAGGACACTAGATATTTAAATAATTAAACTAAATTGTATAATAAATAAAATAACTAAATAACAATTATTTATTGCCTACAATTAATACAAACTATTTTAGTATATCTAACAACTTCTCTGTGTCTTCGTAATTTAATTTATTAAGAAATTCCCTTACACTTATATTACAGTCCTTATAACTTAGACTATATACCTTTAGTGACTTGTTGAGCTTGTTATATAGAAAGGGTCCTAAAAATATGTAAAATTTGTTCACAAATGCGTGTTTGGTTTGAGGGTTTACACAAACTAAATCCATTCTTCTCCTGTCTATGGTTTTTAAGTTAAATGGAAGTTCGGTATGTTGTTTTAATATGATTTTCAGGATAAACAACTGACGGACAGTTAATACACTACATGCCAAGTACAGTTGATGTGTAGGAAACATGAATGGACGGAAAGTTGTGTAAATATACTCTTAAAGACCGATTTTTCAATCCTTAGTTAAAATTTATTCAATGGATAAAATACAAACACAAGTATTATATTCATAAAATACAGTTGTAGGAATAAAATAGGTTAATTGTTTCACTTTTATGGTAAAATGAAAATTTTACATTGTCTAATATTACCTATAATCGGTAAGAGATATACTGATTATTATTTGATTCAATAATGTGGGGGTAACTAAAAGTTACGCAGCTGGAAAATCTGCATAATATAAGTTTGTTCGTTACGATATATGTATACATATTTCATAACACTAATATATTCTTTATAGAATCCTAATAAACCAATTGTATCGAAATTCAAAATATTAAATTTATTTCAGCCATTTGGGCTGTTAAACTAAGACATGAATTAGACATCCAACATAAATATAAGAATAACAGAAAATCTTGATGGAAATGTTAAGGGTCTTGACAATGCACTCTTGTCAAGATAGATCAAGGAGCTTAAAAGGACACCAAAATATCTTTTGCTCTTAAAATTTATAAAGGTAATCCAAGCGCCGTGATAAAGTATAATTCTTTTCTTTGTCAGTTCGTGAAAAGCCTATTATTGAACGTAAGCTACCTTAGCAGGGAGGATTTCGTCATCAGCATCATCATCACTACTGCTCGTCAAAAGACCATTGCTGAACATATGCCAAGCAATACCTCAAAATACAGTCCCGAGCCACCACATATCTTACCACCAACACTAAATGGAGTACTAAATGAAGTGACTACTCAACTTAGTGTGGGGGGTTACACTTCACTTACTGCTATGAGGTTGCTTCGTGGCGTTAAGCTGAATCGGCAATGGGCCGGCCATATATCGGATACTAGCTGATGGGGTAAAAAGGTTTGTCGAGGGAGACTTTCGACAAGAACCGTGTTATAAGATAATACATACGAAATAATACTATCTTATATTATTGTTCTGCGTCTAACTGCCTACAGCAGGGCATGAGGACTTCTTTTGTTTAGGGAGGATTTATCATAATGGCAATTCGAAATATACAGAGCGTTTATATTTAATTTTTATATCAATGTTAAATTCATCTTCACGTGTCATGTGTTTTTGCGAATACTAACCGCCTGCCAAGCGTAGCAACTATGGCAAAAGTAACCCCCCCCCCCCCTTGGCTACCTTCTACCCTCATTTCTTCGCATTTTCATAATTTTATAACCTCATTCGAACACTATCAACTTATTTATAACAAGGAAGGCCACAAATGCGCTGTGACGCCTGATAACTAAGATAGAATGCATCATAACATGTGTACATACTGTCATCTCGACAGTAAATTCACCGTTGTTTGGTGGCGAAAATAGGAAAGATAATGCCCGCGCCGTGGCGCAATGGCTTAGCAATAAGTTGTTGCGCTGGGGGCCACGGGTTCAAATCCCGCACGGAACAAATATTTGTAAGGCTTACAAATAATTGTTCCGGGTCTCGATGTTTGTCCTGATGCAATTTATGTTTGTAAACTGCCTCCACGATATAAAAGAAAATCTTAGTGTGGGGGTAACGTTTAAAAAAATAAAAAAATTGTGAAAAAGAAGATGAAACTTGTACTTATATATTATGATTAACTCCTAAGCAAAATGAAGTTCTACAACCTAGCAAAAATCAATAGATTAACATATTTATAAATAGTCTTTGTAGAGTATATTTAATTGTAAAAATACTCTTACAATGCAATTACATTTTAAATTTAAATATCACGGAACATTATACAAATGATAACTCACCATTTATCTCTTAAAATCAAATCCTTCTACGCAAAACTTAAATAAATTCATCGTCATCATCATCATTACAGTCCTTCAAAAGTTCACTGTTGAACATAGGCCTCCCCTAAGGAATGCCACGAAGCACGGTTCTGAGCCACCTGCATCCATCGATTTCCTGCATGTTTTACCAGGTCGTCACACCATCTAGTGGAGAGACGCTCTATACTTCGTCCGCCGGTACGAGGCCGCCACTCGAGAAACTTTTCTCCCCATCGGTTGTCGGTTCTTCGAGCTATATGGCCAGCCCATTGCCACTTCAGCTAACTAATCCGTTGGGCTATGTTGGTCACTCTAGTTCTACTGCGGATATCCTAATTTCCAAGTTCATCACGCAGAGAAAATGCGAGCATAGCCTTCTCCATAGCTCGCTGAGTGACCTTGAGCTTCCTCATCCGGCCAGCAGTGAAGGACCACGTCTCAGTTTCATAGGTCAACAATAGCAACACGTACTGGTTGTACAGTCTCGTTTTCAAGCTTTGAGGTATAACTGACGAGAAGATGTGCCGTAATTTCCCGAACGCGTGAATGTGCCGTAATTTCCCGAACGCTGCCCAGCCGAGTTGAATCCATCGATTGACCTCTCGGTCAAAGTTGGAATTACGTAGTCGGCCTATTTGTCCCAGGTAAATAATACTCGTCAAGAACTTCGAGCTTAGTGTTACCAACAACTATCGGCATATGTATGACATGGACGTTACTTTAGAATAGAATAGAATAGAATATTTTTTATTCAATATACATTATGTGTAATTCTTATTGAAAGTCATTTTTTACTTTACCACTGGTTCGAAAAAAACCCTCTGTTCTGGGAAGAACCAGCAAGAAACCCAGCGGGACTTTTTTTTAAAAATCAATTTTACAATATTATTTTATTACGAACTATTTACAAAATTTATTTTAGAAACTGCTTGGAAGCGACCACCTCATTCCCAGGGGTTATTATCAACCATGTGTTCATTTATACAATAATAACCCTTTTTATACAGTTTCAGCTTAATAAAACATTTAAACTTGGTAATAGGGAGAACCTGTACATTGGGACCTTGTTGTAATAGCGTATACATTGCCCCAAGAATGAATTACTGACTCTGTGGAGTCGAGAAACTGGCATCACTAGCTTGTGTTTGTTCCTAGTGTTTCCAGAATGTATATCACTTTTTTTACTAAAACTATCTTTGTTTTTGTGAACATACATTAAATTTTCGTAAATATACTGAGAGGCCAAAGTTAATATATTAATTTCTTTAAATTTATCGCTAAGAGACTCTCTCGGTTTTAGATTGTAAATAGCTCTAATGGCCCTCTTCTGTAAAACAAAAATAGTTTCTGAATCAGCCGCATTTCCCCATAGCAAAATCCTATAAGACATTATGCTATGGAAATGACTAAAATAAACTAATCTAGCTGTCTCGACACTAGTGAGACCTCTAATCTTTTTTACAGCATAGGCTGCAGAACTTAGTCTGCTTGCTAATTTGGATATATAGGGACCCACTGGAGCTTTGCGTCAAGAGTGATGCCAAGAAAAACAGTGGATACAACAGGGCTCAATTCCTCCCCATTTAAAAACACATTTTTATTCAGATTTTTAACATTCGTTGTTGTAAATTTAACACATTTAGTTTTATTTCCGTTAAAATGCAGATTATACGTTAAACCTATGCACTAATTTTGATACAGCATTATTCACTTCGTCACATTTAAATGATTGACATTTAAATTTAAAAATCAAGGAAGTATCATCAACAAATAATACTATATCATGACTATCTCCTACAAGGTGAGGTAAGTCATTAATATACACCAGAAACAGGAACCCATTAGTACAGGTGACCCGGAAGAACTTTTACCATTGATAATAAATTTCTGTTTTCTATTACTTAAATATGAAATAATAAGTTTAAGCGCTGTGTTCTTGACACCATAGTACTGTAGCTTCCTGATTAATATCTCATGGTGAACACAGTCGAAGGCCTTGGAAAGGTCACAAAATATACCCAAAGCATCCTCTGAATTCTCCCATGCACAAAAAATATGTTTAATAAGCTCAACTCCAGCGTCAGTTGTCGAGCGACCCCTTGTAAAACCGAATTGATTTTTATGTAGCAATTTATTAATATTGAAGAAACTTAACATCTGATCTAAAATAATTTTTTCAAAAATTTTACTTAATGTTGGTAGTACAGAAATTGGTCTAAAATTGGCAGGGTCTAATGTACTACCAGATTTAAATATAGGTATGACTTTACTATGTTTCATTAAATCAGGAAACACACCAGATTCGACGCTTATATTAAATATAGTGGCTAGATAAGGTGCTAATGTATCTACTATAGATAAAATAACTTTAACGGAAATCCCCCATAAGTCTGCCGTTTTCTTAACATCAATAGTTTTAAAATATTTAACGATATCTTTTGGCAGTACCCTATGGAATTTAAAAGTATTTGAACAAGCCTTTACATTTTGTTTGAGCAATGATTCGGCGACGACGAGAAGAATTTAATGATTTTGTTGTCAAAAAAGGAACAGGCTTAACATCTGTAAAAATATTATCTATACAGGTCGCACTAGGCCCAGCAATACGTGTTGGTTCTAAGAATAAATTTACAAGATTATACGATTTAAACAATGAGCGAAACTTAATACTAATGGAAGAAGTTTCAAGGAGATTGATATTAAAGTCTCCACACATTACAACAGACTTGTTCTGTTTACTAAGTTTGAGCAAAACTTCTTCCACAATCCTTTCAAAATGGTCATAAGTAGCACATGGGGGTCTGTAAACACTTACAACAATGAGGTGCTCGAGCTCGACACAAGCCATTTCTACGGTTCGTTCAACAGATAGGCTCACAATATCCTTACGTTCTTTATATAATAATGATTTATCTGCTAATATTAAGGAGCCACCACGTAATTTTTTTTCTCTATTAAAGGAACTGACCATCTGGTGATTTCTGAAATTAAACATGAAATTATAATCTTTTAGCCAATGTTCAGTAATACAAAGGATGTGTATATTGTTACTATATAAAAACAATTCTACTTCCAATTCTTTGCCCAACATGCCTTGTATATTTTGATGCACCAGGTGTAAACAATTTTTATTACTTATTTGTGGGCTGTATTCAAAATTAATTAAACTCTTATTATTGCTAGAGATTGCCTCTATTGTCACATTCACTAATTTAAATTAGTTGGAACTGATTCCAAATTAAATGTCAAATGATTATGCTCAATAAAAGCAGTCTTGGTAGCCAAAAACTTGGCTGAGTTAAAAAGTAAATAATAAGATAGCACATTTGCTATCAGTCTTAAATTATATTTGGATAGGTAATACCTATCTTTTGTCCAAAACTTTTTTATTAAATTATTTATGTCAATTACATGAAATTTATGATTATTATCATTAGAATTATATGTCAAATTTAAATTATTATTACATATTAAATTATGCATTTGTATATTTAAACTATGTCTTAAATTATTTTCTTGTGGCAATCCCTGTATATAAGGTAGTGTGAACAAGACAATTTTGTGTACATTTAAGTTATTAAGTTGTTCAATATATCTTAATAACTGTTTGTTGTTGACACTGCCTCTTCTACCAACAAAAATTATTATTGTACTATTTGGGCAAAATTTAGTAACAATAATTTTATTTAGGATGTCACTAAAAGATGCTCCAGGCATGCAGCAATTTGTAACTTTTTGTCCCTTTAAAGAGTTATTTAAAGTTATGCCTAGATTTTTTCCCATGTCAACGCTATAAACAATTATATTATTTTTAGTAGTATTTGAGTTATTTATTATTTTAATATCCTCTGCTATGGCACTGTCATAGAGTTTTGGTGGTGGTATAATATTATCAGCACACACTGACTTTGAAGAATCTGGCATTGAGCGCTGACACTCACATTGATATTTAACTAAGGAGTCAAACCGCTCCTCATTATATTTACAAGTCTTTACCAGATTATCCATAGCCAATATGTGTTCTTTTATTTCATTTTGGGCTGATTTATATTTATTGGACACAGTTTGAAGGGAGTTCATAAGTGATAATATTTCTGATTTAAGGCACTCTACTTCAGTCTCATAACATTTTTTTATGTTATCCACCTCAATTGAATACAACTTAAGTTACTTACTTTTACTTTTAACTTACTTACTTTGTTTTGTCCATGTTCGTCTCAAGACCTATCCGTTGGGGGGCACTGTTGAGGTCATTAAGCACAGTGCATAGGTCCTCCAGTGATTCTGCCATAAGGGCTATATCGTCGGCAAATTGAAGGTGAGTGATGTACTCGCCGTTGATGTGAATACAGTTTCCAGTCCAGAAGCTTGAAAACTTCTTCCAATGCAGCGGTGAAGAAATTTATCAGTTTCTTTCTCTTCTTTAATGCTTGCCGGAAGTTTATTGTAAATCTTTACACTCATCGCGTAGCAGCCATTATGATAAAAGGCAGTTTTAGGTATAAGTTCTAAAACTAGTCTACTAGATTTTCGTGTGTTACGTAAATATACCTCAGACGCTTTTTTGTACATAAATAATTTTTTTTTACATGAACACTTGCTTCAAATATAAACATGCCTGGTAAAGTTAGTATATTCATAAGACCGTTCGTTACTTACACTTGCGTATGGCTCCAACGATGATGTGTAAAGCTGCCCATAGAATGTTTCAATCTCACTCAAAGTCTCGGAAACGACACTGCCACATTCGGTCTTCTACATCGAAATTTGGCTTTTTCTGGCAGACAGATCTCTAGCAAAGACTTTGGAACCCTGGTTTCGCTCGATCGCTTCTTAAATACGAGCTGTATTGAAGAAGCTTAGTTGCGTAAGTCCAACCGCTGAAGACTGCAGCTTCATTTCCCGTCTAACAGCCATGAGATTAAGAGTGTGATCGGAGAGTTTTTGTGTACTTCTGCTGCGGGTCTTTTGCAGTACTTAGTTTAGACCGCGTGGACAGTTTCCACGAGCTCGTCATTCATATCGTCCATTGCATTGCAATCTTCCAGGCACTGAATACGGTTTGTAGCTTGAGCTGAAAGGTGTCGGTACTTTGGATAGAAACCTTACAGCTCAAGCTTTAAAGCACGAGGGGGACGGAGCGTTGACTTCATTAATCGAGACCACACCAATGTAGTCATAATGAAGTCAATCTCATTTTTTGTCAAACTGTCGGGGCTCGACCAGGCCCACTTCCTGTAAGACCGCTTCTGGAAGAAAGAGTTCATCATAAAGAGCCCTC